GCTCATACAACTCTTATCACAATCCATACATCCATCCATTGTGTCAAGCACATTTGTACATTTGTTACCATCATCATTCCCAAAACATTTATTTCTGCTTGAGCCCTTGGTATCAGCTTCTATTTTTTTTTTAACTCAGTCTTCTTGACTTCCACTTTCTCCCTTAATCCTCTCCAAAATGGAGCTCAGACACATAGGAAATCATACAGGTTCATAGAGGGGCAGGGAAGAGAGGGGCTCAGATCCACAAAGTGTTCTCCACCTCAGTTAGACACCAGAGTGGAATGACGAGTCTGGCCTGGGTCCCTGGTCTGAGGAGCAATAAGGACTGATGGATCCTGTCTGTTCCCTTGAGATTTGTGGCCCGAGGCATTTGTCTTTGGTTCTAAAATCTCCCTACACACACACATACACACACACACACACAGAGAAAAAAAAATCTGTATCCAAAATCATTAAGCACTCCTGTGAATCAACAAGAAAAAAAGTAAGAAAACAAAAATTAAAAATTAAGAAAAGAAAACAAAAAATGTACCAAGCTATTCTCAGAAAAGGAAACATAAATGTCTACTAAGCATATGAAAAGCTATCCAGCCCCTGTAGTGATTCTCACTGCCATCGCGTCAGCGCCCCTGTGACTGTAACTATGGGAGTAGAAAACCCTGTCTTCGCCCTTGGAGCAGCTGGTGGTTTTGAACTAAAGACCTTGTGGATCAACGCTCAACTTGTAACCACTACACCACCAGGGCATCTTTTCTATAGTAATTAGGAGGCAATAATTACAACCATGATGAGATGCCATTTCACATCATCAAACTGGCAGAATTCTGGCCAAAAAAAATGGAGTTATGGAAACATTCATATTGTAGATAAGAGTGAACAAATGGTAAACATCTTGTGAAGGGCAATTTGGCAGTATCTACTTCAGACATCATGATTGGTAATGTAAAAGAGTATCAAAAGGTAGGAAGACCTTAGACGGAATGCATTAGCACCGTGGCTGCAGCGATGGACTCAAACATAGCAACTGTGAGGCTGGTGCGGGGCGGGCTCGGAAGTGTCTGTTCTGTTGGGCTTGGGGTCCCTGTGAGTCAGAGCCAACTCGGTGGCACCTGACGACAACAACACTGCAGTCTGAGGTGGCGCTCCCTAGGATCCGCCATTCCTTTCTGAACGTTCTCCCTTGAAAAGCATCAGTCATATGTTCACAAGGAGCTGTACACAAGAACATCTGTAGAAACTTTATAATACCATGATAAAAATTTGGAACCAACTTAGATGAGAATATGATATAGTTATAAAACTTAATACTATGGTGATGTAAGCAAATAAACTAGAATTACATAGAGCAATATAATTGTTATCTTAGTTATCTAGTTCTGCTACAACAGAAATATCACAAATGGGTGGTGGTTTTAACCAAAAGAAATGTGTTTTCTCTGTTTGGGAGACTAGAATTCTGCATTCAGGGGAAGGCTCTCCTTTTCTGTAGGCAGTGGAGGAAGATCGTTGATTGTTTTATTAAACCTCTTCTCCTACTTAACCAACATGTGACTTGACATCTCTCTTCCCCCTCTCTGCTTGAGACTCTCCCTAATCAGCTTGGTGTGTATCTCTTTCATGTCTCCATGGAAATTAATACAAACTTCACCCAATGCTAACCCTGCTTATTAGCATAACAAAGATGATC